CGATTTTTCTTCCTGTTTTACCGATATGCTCACAGTTGCCGCATTTGATGCGATAAACTCCCGAACAATCAAGTTAGTCAGTCTTTTTGTATTGAATCGGCAGACTGGAACAGAACTTTTGTCTCAACATATTGACAAAACTGTCAAATTTGGAGGTGGAAGTGTAAGGGTGTGGGGTTGTCTATCTTAGTATGGAGTTGGAAAGTTGTAGTTTATAGAGAATTAAATGTTTGCTATTCAATATGTGCGCAGCCTTTACAATCACCTCTTTGAATCTGCTGCATCAATGGATTTAAATCAGTTCATTCTTTAGCTATACATCGACCCAAAACACACATCAAAGCTGGTATAAGAGTTTTTGAGAGAAAGAAATGTGGAATTATTGCCTTGGCCTGCTCAACCACCAGACATGAACCCAATTGGGGGATTATAAAGTCTAAAATAGGTATATTAAAGCCTGAAAATATCAGCTAACTTAAAGATGCAATTAAGACGTCTTGGGCAGAAATAACCACAGATATGACAATGAGATTGGCTAAAAGTTTTCAAAAACGAGCTATTGCTCTTTATAAAGCCAAAGGTGAATCAACAAAATATTAAATGACTAGTGGTACGTTTTTTATCAAAAAATTAAAAAAAAGATAAAATAGTCCAAATTATATTTATTTAAAAAACAAATATTAAATAATTTTAATATATATATAATATCGACTTGTTTTAATTTTTTTCATTTTGACCAAAAAAGGGTGGTGCGTTTTTTTAACAAACTTTATATGTCCGTACCTAACTTATAGATATGTAGAAAAACCTGGTTTCGGTAAATCTCTTTAGCGATTGCCATTGGGGTACCTTTCATTTCATTTGAAGATACGAGTGGAAGGTATTTGTAGGTTGGCTTCATCATTTCTCTTGCCAAAGAGATCCTCCTGGTGATTAATGGCATGCCTCACTTAGACTCATATATACTTTTACATATGCCTTATGTTGTCTAACAAAACGCTATTTGCCTCCGAGGTTCTTGTTTAGTAAATATTATTCTTTTCATTTAAAAGTATTTCTCCATGTCTAATATGCATCAGTTTTAAGATTCTTTTATTAGATTTATCCTGCTACTTCTATGGAAATGCCTTACACCACACCACCTTAGTCCTCATATCAATAATACACATCGCTTCTCTTTAAGGTACTTCATTATTGTATTCTGTTCCACTATTGATGGACATTATCTATAATTAGTTGAATTGAGGCCTTCATTTAGAACTTAAATACATTAGACCATGCATCCCAGAAGGCTATTCTCAGCCATGTTGGATTTAATTTGAATTTTCAGATTCAAAGGTTAACATTCTACTCCGTAAGCTTTTAGAGTCTAGATTAGTGGGTCACCTGGAAACCTATGATTTTCAAGGTAAAACAGGCCTTCTTCAACTTAGTTTTGCTGAGGTGGCAGTGGTCAGAGGACAGACGTGACTTAAGGCCAGTCAGAAATCTCTCATCACATTTTGTAGTACCCATGTGATTTTGGAAAGATCAGACTCACATTAGTTTATTAAAGGATCTTCTAGAAATCATTCTTCTTCATATATACTTTCCCATATGGCTTGAAGATCTTGTCTTTTACTTTTTTGCTCTCATTAACATCTGCTTTCAAATGCAACAAAAACCATAAACTCATTCAGATGGAGGCATCTCCTGCTTCGGTTGTTGGCTCATCTGAGCACTCTATTAACCCTTGCTCCGTTCTTGATCAACCGGCCGCAGTCGACTTAATCGATCTCTCAAGTGGAGTCTCTGCTGAGGATCTGTCTCCCACTGACCATTCAGAGACTTCAACGACATTTTCGCATGCACAGTCTCTTATCGTATCCCCGAGTGCTAGCTGTCCAACTAAACCAACCAAACACCAAGGTGTAGCGCCTATCCCGATATACAGTGGCTTCCGAATTGGTGCGGAAGTCGAGCTGCTCGAGTGCGAGTATTCTCCAACTCTGGAAGGTAAGTAGCTCACTGCGGTTGTATGGATTAACACAGTTTTGCTCTCTAAAGATGTACTGGCAGTTATTTTATTACTAAATACATTCATGCAATATCAGCGTGCAGATTACTACCTAATAAAATCCATCAAATTTGTCTATAACGCTATATTATTTTACAGACATAAGATTACAATTATTGAGTCAAGTATCCTAAATATTTTGCGAAATATTGCATAGACAAATACTTCCCACTTCTGTAATAAATCTTTGTATATTAAAACCTTGATATTTTTCTTAAATCATTTTTGATCTACATTTTCCTTCGTATTTATGAGTTTGTCTAGCATTCACTCTTCACGTATGCATATTTCTAAAATAAATTATTATTTTCATATATTAGTTATATAGTTAGGTCTTGTTAGACTTAATTCATTGCTTTGTTACCCAATACATCGTAGAATGTATAAATTTTATTCTAAAATTTTACAAAAGTCAACTTCAACACAAAAGGTGTCTGAAACAAAACATTATTTTCCCCCGACAACTTGGCATCTAAATCGACGAAATATAATAATCGAAGGTCTGAAAACCAAGATAGTGTGGTCGCAGTCTCCCTTCGTTTTATAGAGGTTGTTTGACCTTGTTTTCGCAACTTGGTCTTATTGGTACGAAGACTTAGAGGAACGCACCTAGTCCGGAGTCCATTGTGTGCGTAATAATTTCCTGAGTAGGACCGTGGACATGGTACATTTCCAGACGCTCCGCCGGCATCGTCAGTGAGTCTCACCATTCTTAGCATCGCACAAAAACTCGTCAAAGAGACAAGTGAAGCCGATCCTTCGACCAAACGTGTTCTAAACAGTTGTGGCATCTCCCCGTCTGCCATGGGCTATTCACATTTCCAATATCCTATCATGTCGTCACTGTTACAATTTTTACCGTTCTTATTTAGATGTAGTGCCGTGTGTTCTTTTGATTGGTATTTATGAAAACCCTTCACACTGCATAATGTCGTTCTCACTCCCTTCACCCTTGTGCTGGGAATGTCGATCAGAGTCTGCCATATTGTTACTAAAGTCCTTCTTCCCTAGGTCTTATCACAGCCTCTCTCTTGCCCCGTAAGCTCCGTCTGCTATATCCTTGGTCCACGTATTTCACTCGACCCCTGCCACACCATCTGTGCTACTCGAGGCGTGGGTTGGTACACAAGAGACCATGGCATAGGAAGTCAGAGACTTGATATTACATATAGAAGCAGGATAGACGCGGCAGAGACTGGATCTAGTTGGCTGACAGTAGGTTTTGCCATAGACGTGGTCCATGTAGCAAAGGCTTGACAATGAGACTAACTCAGAGGCTTTAGTCTCGAATTAGTCACCCATACACAGGGGAGGGCGAATAACGCCTCGAGCAGTACAGATGGAGTGGCAGGGATCGAGTGAAATAAGTGAACCAGGGATATAGCAGACGGACCTTACGGGGCAAAAGAGAGCCTGTGATAATACCTAGCGAAGGAGGACTGCGTAACAATATGGCAGACTCTGATCAATATTCCCAACACAAGGATGAATGGGGTGAGAACGACAGCGTGGTTTTAATGAATACCGCTCAAATGAGCACACCACACTACATCTAAATAAGAGCTGTAAAAAGTGTAGCAGTGACGGCGTGATAGAAGGATATTGGAAATGTGAATAGCCCAGGGCAGAAGGGGAGATATCACAACTGTTTACCACAGGTTTGATCAAATGAGTGGCTTCACTTGTCTCTGACGGGTTTTTGTGTGGTGCTAAGAGTGGCGAGACTCACTGACTATGCCGACTACGGTGTGGGCAATAATTAGCACTTATTCTCCCCTAGATAGGTCGCAAATATCGCATCATTGACTATACCACATGATTTGGGTTTAATGACGAGGTTATTGATGAATATCAGAACCAAAACTTTAACTGACTGCACTATTTAAATCTTATGTCCATAGTTTTTGCTTTAAATAACTGGGAACAGTTCCAGACTCTCAATTAAGTCTTTCTTCCTCTCTTTTCGTATCTTTTTTCGCAGGCCATCGCATGTCGCTCAAGGTTTCTACATCTGATGTCCGACGGATTGCAGAGGCATTTGTCCTACGCAAAATTAATAGACCTCATGAAAATGTTCATCTTTATTTAATAGGCGTCACGCTTGGTAAATCATGATTAGAGTTTTATTTTTATAATTTTATTTCCTTGTTTGTTTCATTTCCTTAGACATCCTCGGTTCAGAAGCTTGTATGAAACGTGCTGTTCTATTGTATACCCTATAATTATCATTTATTAAAAGAAAAACTATATGAGTCCTGAATCTCCACAGTCTATACTCAAGCTGCAAACTTTCGTTAACAACTTTTGACCATATAGAGTTGATGCATCCAGTTTTCATGTTGGTCTAAGCTAACCTCCAGTATCGCCTGAAATAATAGAATTAAGGTGCATTTCATTGAAGTGCCATCATCCGCGTAATTCCCTGTTTATTGAACCATCTAGATACATATGTATATAGTCACTGTGTACATATTATGAAATTCCGGCATATTATGAAATTCCGGGTTTCGAAGGCTCTTCCAATAACCTTATTTTATTAAGTGGGTTGACCTCGTTGTCGAAAGGAGACTGCGACCATACCCGAGGCCACAACATCTTGGTCTTCACATCTTATTTTATCAAACCTATCGTTTTATATGAAAAGTTTCGTAGAATAGGTTTATATCTCCGTCTTGTCGGTAATAAAGATCAGATTGCCTTAGAGGGACGATCGTCTATTTGTGCATAGTAATCCCCAGCATCTCATTTGTTGCTGTTTGCATTGCCAATATTTATCCTGCGAACTACTCGGGTTCCAGTCTCTTTGGAAATGATGAGGAGAATTAGATAAGA